TAGAAATTGCAAAAGTGAATCATCGGTATGATCGATTTCAAAAGCTTTGCAGAGTTTCGCGAGCCTGGGGGTGAAATGTGAAATTTTGAATTTCGACTCGGTCGGTATATGCTTCAGGGGGGGAAAAATAAAAAGAACGCTGTACGTATCTGAAATTTTTAAAACAGTGTATCTCGTAGAAATTAGATGCTCTAAGAGATTATAGAAATTTTCTGAATGGTGCTTTTAGCGTGTTATATACCATTTGTACATTTCTTAGAAAATTTCCCTCTTTCGTGTTATATCATCAAGCTTAAACAACGCCCCGTACGATTTCCTACGCTAATTGCTTTCTTCGAAGGCGGCGCGTAACGCGCGGAGAAGGTCGGGCTAAAAATACCGTAGATACCGATATTTTTCCAAGATACATTACGTACAGCGTAATATAACGATAAATATTGTTTCCGGTTACGATAAATCACGGCTTTACGTTTATCTTATCGACGCCGAATTAAACGTGCACCGTATATCCCCCTCGAGGAGGTTCTGCTCCATTAAAGAGCCGGCCGGCCGCCGGCAATCGTATATAGGCGCGCGCGAACGCGTAACACCAGGGGCCGCCGGATGTCCGCGGATCATTTGACCGGAAACTGAAAGTTCGCGCATCGGCGTAATCGAGTCGGCTCGCCGCATGTTAATCACGCTACAATCGCCCGCATCCTACGTTCAGAAACAGGAATGGCTCCCCGATAAACGGGCTCTAACTCTTGTTTAGCCTTCTTGGAAAACGCGTGGGTTCGTTCTTCGGTCTACGAGAGACCGTATATACCGTTTCGTTCCGTTCGGAGGAAGGAGAAAAAAAACGAAGAAAAAAAAAGAACGAAGAGGAAGAAACGATGGAAATGATTTCGAGAAACTACCAACGGAGAGGAATCTCTCTCATTCTTTCTCTCAATGTTTAATTTAACCGAGTCTGGGCCACATAAAGTATTAATATTTTATCGTTTCCCAGGAAGCTTATTCTATTTTCAGCAGCGTATTTTCTAATTTCACCCGTCGGGGAAAATTTCGCGGTGGAATAATACGACACCGCGGGCGTACTGTTTTCTATCCGCTGATTTTCAATCGTATTACAATAATATAATCATCGGGATAGTGAAACGGTACAATTGAAATTGGGAAATATAAAAAGAAGAAGGGAAAAAAAAGTTGAAAGTATACAATGGAAAAATTTACACACAGACATACACGAGGAATGAATACGAAACTGATAAGTGTATTTACATAAACAGGATAGTTGAAAAAGAATAGGCAAGATAATCGCGAACACGTAATATCTTTAGCGTATGCTAAATCCATGGTAATGAGCGCGCGCTACGTAACGCGTGTGTCGAAAGGCTATCCGTTCAAGAGTCTCGTGTCCCGACAAATCGTCACGATCTCTCGCGACACCGTACAGCAGTCAGTCATTCATGAATTGGCTCGAACCGCTGTCCGTTTATTTATACTGGCTGATAAATCGCTACGCGGCACGTAGCCCAGAGAGCACCGCGGCGCGCGCCTCCCGATACCACGCGTTATGACGTATTCCAGTAAAAGTAGGTGTATCACTTTTGTAAAACGATACTAAACCACCCAGCCCCCCAAGAATAGTAACCAGGAAACGGATCTAACCAGTCGATACGCCCCATTCCACCGACTTCCCTACCTTTTTACCCGTCCTCCATTCTCTTCCGAGTCTCTCTCTCTCTCTCTATCTTTTGTCATAGTATTCGTAGATTGCGAATCGTTGTCCATGGATATTTCCTTTCTTTTCACCTTTTCTTTCGCACGGATACTCGGAGTCACAGTCAATGGACAGTAACTGTGGGCAACGACAATAACCGGGTAACGGTTCATCCCTGACAATTTACACTGTTCGACGATCCACAACCGAGTATAAATGGAATTCCGATTAAACCGGAAGTAGCTTTGTGCTAATACAGCGGTAACTATTATTCGATGTTTCGAGCGAAATCGACGCCTCTGTATTTATCGTTTTATCGTTTCAACAACCAATTTTCAATCACCTTGCCAGAAAAACACGATAACATTGCTAATGTATATATAATATATGAAACTCCATATATGAATATTTCCGTAATGTACAGGTTATCTATAATGCTAATAAACAAGAAGCTGTAACGCCTGCTCGCGTGACATCGTCGAATTACTACAAAAACGATAACAGAGAAAAAAAACGCTATTCATGGTTCGAGGTCGTGCAAAAGACAGCCTTTCCTCTATACAACGATGTGAAAAAGAACACTTCCGGCCGATGAAATACATTTGGCGTACAGCGTCAGCTGCACACGAGCCGACACGTCCCGGTTTTCGTTGCACGATACTAATGTCAATATCAATGAGACGCAGACCCGTTTTTAGGTTAGGTGTGCGCACGTGCGAGCCACAGAGAGAGAGAGAGAGAGAGAGAGAGAGAAAGAGAAGGAAGGAAAGAAAGAGAGAGAGAAAGAGAGTGCACACGTTTATTATTCGTTTTTACGCACGTCAGAGAGCCAAAAACACACGCGGCCGGGACAGGTGTCCTGTTTACATGAACGAAACGAACGGGATGTGAAGCGAAAGAGAGATCGTTAAAGCGGTACGCACCTGATCCCGAAGCTTTCTTTCCAGAACTCGGCCGCATCCGCCTTGGTAATACGGAACTTGTGTCCGGCAAACACACCGTTTGGAAAAATGGCCTTCAGTTCAGACAGCATGTGGCTAAACACTAAGCTGAGCTTGGTCAAATTCCTACGATAATGCGACGTCTCGTCGAACATCTTTTCTTTGCCCTCTTTGAACAACTTGATCGCTTGCTTGCACTTTCTCATTAGGTTATTAATGAACACACAAAAATGCTCGTTACTATGTAACACCTGCATCCTGTCCTCGTATTTGCTATATATCAGTCTCAGTCGTTGATACGTATCAGGTAGGATGTCCAGGATGAACGGTGGCGAATTTTTCAGATTCATCCTCTGATGTTGACATAGTTTGACCACCTTGTCCATTAGCTTCCAGGTCTTATCCAACATTCGCTTGTCGGTCGAAAGTTTCGGAAGTGTCATAGGGTCAGCGAAGCGACCATGAAGCTTCTGGAAAATTGAGCCTATGTGTACGGTCCGTGTACGACTGCTATGTCCTCCCGACGACATCTTGACGTGTGCGTGCATATCCCACGACACCGGGACTCGTTGTTGCTCGTTCTCGATACGAGTCCCGCGCACTTTTTACACTTCACCTTCCGAACAACCAACCAACCACCAACACCTCGCTTAGGTTAGCCTGGTCTGCACTCGCGTGATACGATATAATGCATTTCTTCAACGAGACGCGTTCACCACCACGACGACCTTCTCACGAAGTCGCGGCCACGAGATATACCATAATGTTGTGCGATACCGCATCCTAGTCTTACTACTCCGTAACTGACAACAGCGAATGATACCCACAACGAATCGACACTGACACGACCAAGCGTGCCCGTGGCTCGTTAATTATGCTTTCACTCGCGTCCGCGTGACGCTCTGTGGCGCTCCTGTAGCGCGCTCTATTTGAATTCCTTTGATTCTACTATAGAAACGTTTGATTTTCTCTTTTTCCAATTTTATTCATTGATAAATGTACACTATATTGTTTGGACACGTGCAACCTGTTTGAATGTTCAAATTGAAGGAACAAATGCATTGATAAAACAAGACCAACGTGTATTTCCATGTTTGCATTTATAATACAATAGTTTTAACATTATACATACATGATTTGTTTCACAACGGTAACAAATAAATTAGAGATACAAAAGAAATCGACGAAAATAGGTTAAACTATAAAGGTTCAGTTAATTATAAATCCTTAAAATATAAACCCTTATGAGACTAAAAAAAATTATACAAGATTCGTATCACATTATTTCCGATCTTGAAACGGTAATGCTTCACGGAATACCACGTTATCTTGTATCAACGATCGATAAAAGGTAGCGAACGGATGAATATTTAAGTTATCGTGTGTGTGTGCATTGTTTCTAATACTTTCTTCTTTCGAAATATTTCCCCCCAAAATCGGTGACTCGATCCTCTCCTCTTTGCATTGTCGAACTTCGTTCAGTTAACTATATTGATTTCCTTTGGCAAGTTTCAAAGTATAAGTGGTTCTACTAAGTCAAAGCAATTTCTTGTACTATTTTTTGTTCCGTAATTCGTTAGTGGTGGTCATCACTTGATCTACTATTGATAATTAAGACTCAACAGCCTTGCTCCTATTTTCACTTGCAATACAATATAGACTATCTACTACCTAACCGATCCTTCGTTGTAATAACATAAAGATGCTGTCACCGATTTTCCATATAATAACTTAATCGTAGTAAAATAAAGCTCGCCATTAAGAACCAACTTGCCGGGATTGATGCCAGAACGTAATATCTTTCATCTGGAACATTAAAAAGGTCATCACAATCATAAACTCTTACTATATTTATCTTCATACCGTGGAAAGCAAAGAAAACATGCACAAACTTAGGAAATAAAGGTCATACGTTTGCAAACAACAACACAATATCAGAAATCACATGTTTATTTGTTTGTAAATAAAAGTTTTGAATAAGGAATAAAAAAGGGGGATAACAACCCATGTTATCGCTATGAAATTTAATAGAACTTGTAAAAGGAAAAGTACTTTTTTTCTTATAAATTATCTTCGTCATGCAACTGGAAATCCATTGCCCCCAAGTGGTTACTTCATTTATAAGAACGCATAAATAAAACATACAGGTACATTCACAATAATGTATGCAGAACAAAGACGAAAGGTTAAGTGCGAAGGATATTACGATTAATTTAGGAAGGCAGCTTCAAACATGTCTGAAACTTCAGACAGTACTTGCTGAATACTTTTAGATTTACCTGTCATTTGATCAGATTTCTTTACTGCCGCCCACCCTAAACTTCTTTCAACTGCCATCTTCCATTTTCTATACCTAGCATCTCTCTCTACAGAAAAAGGTAAACATTTTATGGATAATGAAATACAACTATAGTCGTTGAGTTTGAAAGTCTTTTACCTTCTGGTGTTGTCGTCGGCAAAAATGTATCTGTCGAGACCCTTTCTACCTCTTCACCTTCAAGTTCCCAAACACCTATACCTTCTGCATGGCCGGCAGCCATTGCAGCACCTAACGCTGTAATGTCTGGCATCGTTGACCTGACTATCGAGAAATACAATGCGTATTAATGCGAGAGTTCATTTCTGCTTTCAAGATACTTAATACATATACTTACATACTGGTGTACCACAAAGATCTGCCTGCAACTGCATAAGAAGATTATTGGTTGACATTTTTCCATCTGTGTTCAGCTTGATCAACGGAAAGCCACAATCTTTATACATAGCTTCCAGAATATCTCTCGTTTGGAAACAAACAGCTTCTAACGATGCTCTTATTATATGCTGTTTCGTGGTGAATGCAGTAAGACCGCAAATAATTCTGTAAAAGAATGTTCAGATAAAGAACACGTGTATCACCGATGCTGCATCCAGAGAAAGCTTTACAAAATGTTACTCGCCCCCTCGCATCTTTTCTCCAATATGGAGCATATAACCCTGTAAAAGCTGGTACGAAATACACATCACCGGTACTAAAAACGCTTTGAGCCAAATGTTCACTTTCATGAACATCCTTTATAAGGTTCATATTATCTCGTAGCCATTTAATAGCAGCACCTGCTACAGCAACCGAACCTTCCAGCGCATAAACAGCCGGACTTTTGGGGCCTAATTGATATGCCACCGTTGTGACTAATCCATGAGACGAATACACCCTCTAAAAATGTTAACACTTGTTCATACATAAGCAAACATACGAAGGAATTGCATTTCTTATAATACATACTGTTGTTCCTGTATTACAGAGCAAGAAACATCCACTTCTATACGTATTTTTCGCTTGTCCCTTCTTTAGACAATTCTGTCCGACCAACGCAGATTGCTGATTCCCTAGAATCTAAAGATAAAAGAGAAATTATGTACTTGGATTAATCCTTTCTTCTTCGAGATACATTCACAATTACAACTTACACCTGATATAGGGATACCCTTTAACGGGCCAATCGCGATATCTCCATAAATTTCAGCACTGCTCTTGATCTCTGGCAGTATTTGTATAGGAATGTCGAAATATCTGCATAACGTGGGATCCCACGAGAGGGTTTCTATGTTCATTAACATGGTCCTCGACGCGTTCGTTACGTCAGTGATATATAATCCACCGTCTTTGCCACCCGTTAAGTTCTGTAACCATTTTTCAATGAATTCTCTGGTTCTTGAATGTTCATCATTTATCATTCCTCTTGCTGTAAGGCATAACAATTGTTTGCATATCCTACACAACTTCTACGATAAAACACAACCGTGCCCACGTACCCAAACGATCCATGTGTCCATCGTTCCTACTTTACATCGTTTATCTCTTATCGCTTTTCTAACAGTAGGCACATTATCCTTCAACCAACGAATCTTCAATGCAGAAAAATACGGGCTGACTGGTAAACCGCATAAAGGCTTGATATGATTTTTACTTTGATCAGGAAACTTCGCTATTATATGATCAACGATCGAATTCGTTCTTATATCAGACCAAACTAGAATAACAAAAGTATATTAATAGCCAGCTTGATTATATCATATCAATATGCTTATTAATTCAATATCTTATCAAGAATTATAATCCTCAAGACACACCTATTGCATTATATAACGGTTCACCGGTTGTTGCATCCCAAGCAACAGTTGTTTCACGTTGATTCGTGATACCAATGGTAATTATTTCATCCACCTTCAAGCCAAGCACGTCGAACTTCCGGATAACATCTTTGATGCAAGCTTTCACAGCGAATAGGATCTCCTTAGGATCCTGTTCCATCCATCCCTCTTGCGGGCTGATTTGCTCCACGTCGATTTGATGGGACGCCACTTCAGCTATGTGTTTCGCGTTGAACACCTGCAATAAAACATATAATTTTTACACATTCGCCGTTTGTTATCCGTAGAAAAGCGTTCACACGTTTGAGCCAGCAAAAAGCAAACCCGTTAAATATTAACGACTCTATACACATGTGTATGACGTGTACGTTCACAGTAGTAATAGGATCCTAGGTGAAAATGGACTCAAGTAGAATGAACGTCGACAGTCTCGTACGCTCAACTATAACAATGTCTCACCACAAAGCGAACGGTCCGCGTGCCAACATCAATTACTCCGATAAGGGGACCCTTCTTCGTCGAGCCTGGCATTGTATCTGAAAGATAAACGTAACCTTTTAATTTTGTTGAACGTTTGTAACAATTCTTGTACTCGTAAAGTTTGATTAGCACAGGTTCTTTTTTCATACTTCCTACGTGATGGAAAAAAAAAAAAGAAGGAAATGAACGAAAATGCACACCGATTTCATCGAGACAATGTCACCGTCTAACCATCGAGACGGATTTAACAAATCTGTCTGTCGTACTACACTTACACCGCCAGGAGAAGAATTGATGACATAATGTACAATACGTTCTATTATCGTGCTTTATTAAGCTCTTCGATGACCCGCACGTGGGTTGACGCGATAATAGTAAGATTAGCGATGTGCATTAAGTTCGTGTCGAATTTTATAATTTAGATCGATGTTTCCGACGAACCCTTAAATTTGATAAAAAAAAAAAGAAAAAAGTAAATGCTTTGTAAGTCCACAACTTTTTCCTATTTTTTCTATCTTTTTCTTTTTTGGTAAGACCATTATGTCATCGCTACAGAATTTCTTTGGATTTTCGTTAAAATATTTTTCGAACTTACAAACTCGCCTAATACTACACACTTCGTTAAAATATTTCACCGTTTCAACAAGTTGCAAACCGCGATTTCCAATTAATTCAATCAACTTCGCGTATAATATCAGCGCGTTCCAATTCCAGACGAAATTTTTCCCCCGACTGTCTCTTGTCGACGTTCGTAGTCAACCGCGGAAAGGATGTTCGCCGATAAGAGGCTTTCTTTTTTTTTACTAACCTGAAGCGCACATTGTGCAAAGTCTGTCGCAGCGATTCTAAGTTCGATCGTTTGCACCGAAGATTATCTATCTTCCTTCGCGCCAAAGAATATCTCCCTCCCCCTCTTATTCTTCTCACAGATTTCAATTAATAAGAAAAGTAGAACACCGAACACACAAACTTCGTTTAAAAAGAGAAAAAAAGGCTTTTAATTGGATCAACTTCACCGGACACAAAGTCTTCAATTACATTATGAATAGAGAGGTGTGCTCTTCTCGACTGATTTTCCACAAAAGAAGAAGAAGAAGAAGAAGAAGAAGAGGAAGAAAAAGAACTCCAGGTGGAGATTATCACGGAGCGAGATTGAGCGTCGTACGAAGGAAGTAGGAATGACCGTGGCAGTATCGTCCCGGCATTTTTAATCGGAATACAGCGACGTGGACGTGGTGAAAACAGGAGAGACGCGATTCGTTGCCACTCCGGAGGCTCGTTATCCCTGTCTCTCCTCCTCTTGACCCGTTGTCCACTTGGTGAAATTCGAGATAAATAAATATATATTACAAACACATCAACGATATATGTATTTTTAATTGATGTCATGTATACACGCCTTAAGACACGTGTCATCACTGTCGAGCGATTAGCGAGGTTCGCCTTGTGGAAGAAGAATTCATTTCTGGTTCCCCTGGAACTGCATCATTTTCTTCCTCGGTGTGTGAACGTTCCGATCGGAGAACGTGTTTCTGTCATTATTTTCCAGCTCTAACAAGTCTCTCTCTTTCAGCGCGTAGCTCGTTTAGATAACAGTAAAACGATTATTTATCTATGTATACATATATCTCCCCCTTGCGAAAGGCGTTTATTGCTGTATCGGGTATCGGTAGAAATTTTTTCTAAAAACAAGACAAACGAAAACAGAAGAAAAATTGTGGTTTTTTTCTTCATCTTTGATATGTATTAAAATTGATTCGTTACGTAGAGAACTGTGGAACATGATCGGTTCCCCTGAATCGCGAAAAGGTTTCGGATTACAGGCACCATAAATACTACGGGTATTACATAATTCGAGCGACGTAGCGAAACATCAGCTGGCGAAGCTTTTTCTATTTTTCTTTTTTTTTTTAATTTTAGTACCTCGAGAGAATTTTCATTGGAACGACGATCGACGGACAGTACCGTGAATTATCGATAATTCGTCGTCGATTTTTCCACCAGTTATGTAAATCATTTTCATATGTACGAAGATGCGGTTCTCTGAATTCATGAAAACTGACGCGAGACGTCAGCCACGAAAACAATATTTCTAAAACCGACTGACTAAAGGATTGACAGCTTTATCTGCTTTTTAACTTTCTGTCTACTTATGTAACACGAATGATTTCTTCGACGTCGTATTACACGCGCCTTCGATATCGTACGTCTTAAAAAAAGAGAGAAAAAAAAAACAAGACTACACGCACAAGGTTAAATTAACGTACACCCTAAACATCACTGTCCAAGCTTCTCGTATGTTCCCCAAGAGGGGAGAAAAGATTAGGAAACTGAATAGTTCCGCTGAAATATCTCCAGTGGATAAAAACGTAAACGCAAAAGTAAACCGTGTCGAACGAGCGCGAAGACTGTCTCCGAATTCCATCGCGAGCCGCCCTAATTTCCAATGCATCACGGGAGCGATGCCGTGCACGCGACCCCCGGTACATCCAGCAGATGCACGTGCAACACGACTCATGTGTGCATGCAGGCGAATGCGAGGCGAGCCCCGGTCTCGTCTTGCCTTGCCCGCCACTCCACTCGGAATGCATACTGTGTGACGTTGTACGACAAGGACGGACCGGATTGGCTGATTACAGAGAGGCTCGTCCTGTATTTACAACGGCCGATGGATGCGTCATTATCGAGCGGCAGCATTTACTATACATCAAACAAAAGAGTAAACTTTTCCTCATCGTCACACTGGCAATTACGTAACGTCTGTTTAGTTTCCAGACACGTGCATACTTTTCTATCGTACTCTCTCCACTTCACGAACAAACTCTCTGCACACAAGTGTTCCTCTCCGCAACTCTTCGACCGAGTTGCGCTATCGATTTTCTTCTCCAGCAGCAGTGAAAAGTGAACGAGAGAGAGCCCCCCCCTTTCCCGAGGTGACGACGTTCAGAGTTTGTACCTTTTCATCATCTGGATTTCACAATTATTTTTCAACAATAATTTCTGTTTCATCCGACACAGCTGATGTAGGATTGTTATAATAGAAAATGTATTTTCAGGGAATGCGTCATTTCTGTGATATAATAGACTACTGATGTAAGTATTTCTAGTTTCCCTTGATCTTGATTAATGACCACGTCGTCTCTCTCTCTATGCGCTCAAGTGTAGCGTTACTATATACGCCGATGCACGCGACTACTTTAAAAAGAGAATACGCAACATGAGCAGTATGCTTGTATAAGGTCTTGCTCAAGATTAACAGGTATTTAAAAGTCGAATGTGTTTCCCGGTTCCGTATGCCAAAAACCATATGAACTTATATATTGTAATTATTTTTAGAGGCAAGTTTTGAAAAAGCGCCGACGATCCACGCGATCGCCCAAATGAAAAACCGGTTCGGTTACGTTCACCCTCGCAATGAATCGATAGGTGTACATACGTATGCGGTCGATGTATATGTACATCTCGCATTGCTTGGCAACGGGACAGAGTAAGACACGAGGACGTCGATCTCGTGATGCTTCACGCGATGCATTATGCACCACCTGACGTTGCATACACGTTCAAGACGCTCGTTATGCCAATTGCGAAATCTTGTTTAGATACAAATATATCGTGGGCAATCTTATCGCGTTCCCCTTGTCTTCTCACGAAAACGAACATCCCTGTACTAATGTCGGTATTACGTAATTGATATTCGGCAACGATAACGTTGGAATTTGGAATTTTTCTAATAGTGTCATTTCGAAATCGGGCGTATTCTTGAAACAACAGGATTTCACATACATGTGGAGGAAATTGTAAATATACGTTGAATGGAAAATTTCTTCATCTGCTGTTTGTATGTTAACGTGTGAATACAGAATGTAGACGCAGAGCACACGGTCGCATACCACACGTAACGCGTGTCGTTGGTCATGCTGTACCCTTTTATTTTTGGCCGTGATTACTAATGTACCACACGACCATGAATTCACACCTTTCCGCGTCCTTGTACATTTCAGTAGGTCTCGATGTTCCAATTTCTGCGTGATACCGAGAGAACACCGAGCCCAGTTTTTCGCTTCCCCGAATACCGATCGGTATCGACCGATTAAAGGTCGAAGTTTTCTTATCGAGTATCAGCGGACAGATATCCCCGATAAGCGCGACAACGTTGTCAAAAATTAACCGTCTCGATGGTTGACAATTCAAAAGAGGGGAAACTGAAATACAATTGAACGAATTGAATTTAAACTGTGTTCGTACCACAGTCAGAAATAAACAAAAGTATGAACATTGACCAATCATTGATCATTGGTCAATTGAATGATGACCTAACTCATGTTCTCTGATGAATAAGTTAAACAAACGTTAAACAATCACCTGTACAACCGTTAATAATCTTTTTCAATTTTAATATCAAACTTTCTATCGGGGAATTCTTTGAAACGATCGACGATCGATTTCCATCGAGAGACACAATGTTGCACAAACCCATCGAAACGACTCACCTTTTGCCTTGAACGCATAAAACTTAAATATGCTGGTCTTGCGACCGGTTTGCGTGCGCTCCAGCTCAGGAAAGCTGGATTCCTCGAACGTTCCGTCCTCCTTCTGCTTTAGCTCATCCTCCTCCTCTTCCTGGCCCCCATTCTTCTTCGCAGTCCCCTCCACGTTCTCCTCCTCCATGATCGCCGATCAATTAATCCCGTAGGAACTAAACACGCGCGAATTCCCCGCGGAACGAACGAAGAACACGTCGGCGACTTGGTGTGCCCGCGATCGCGGCCAGACTCTCGATCGATCTACACCGATCCTCCGGCTGGAAAAAAAGAATGAATCGCGAAGGGCGGTTACCAGAATCGGCGTGCTGGTGTTATATTAGCACACATTTACGGTGCACCGGATACACTTCGGCCGAGAGAATGCGCGAGAATCACCGGTGCTTTTGCATGGCCGCTTTTTACGTTCTTCGCCCCCCCAACTGCCGTCGCAACGTTTCTCCCAAAAACCTACCGCGTGCCGTTTCGGTTTCTCGTCCCTGTCCCACTCGCGAATCGAGTCATGTGTCGTCTGCCTGTCGTGGTCATGACCAGCAGTAGCGACGTCAACGACAACGACAACGACGACCACGACACTCTAAAATTAACCGCGTCTATCGTTCAATCCCAACCGTGCGCGCCTTCTCGTAATTCCGCGTGCCCCTGCCACACTGCAACCGTCGTTGTTTTTCGATCAGTCAGTTACACCGTTCGCGGAAAGTCGTTGCGCTTCTCAAGGTCTAACAAGAGCAGCCGATTGTTACTCATATGCCTGGGAACCCCGACGGACAACTTCAACCGCGTCTCGAATCTTTGCTATCTGGCGGGCACACGGTAGTAAAGGTTGCCGTTTGGCGAGAAACGGCAAGCGTCGCGGTCCACTAGAGAGCTGGGCAGCCGTAGGAAATTTCATTGATTTTTTTTTCTCCACTGGTCATTCGATACCACCGGTAACAATTTTAACCGTGTAAATGAAAGAGTATCGGAGGCTCGTTAAACGTTCCGTACTTGTGGTATAATTAATGCTTCGTTTATAATAGAAATCTAGCTGAATGATAATTGAGTTATCGACACAGATAGCGTACGATAGTAGGCTTATTGATACATTTGCAAGGTATATCGTAAAATAAACATTAATACCAAGGAAAAATCGTTTTTATTACATGAAAAACTCTTTTGCCTTTAATCGCGTTACCAGAATTCAATGAAAAATAAGGGAATAATAAAAACACTGTTCCATTCGTAAAGATAAGAGATGAGAGTGCAATGCAAATGTTGACAAAATTTGCAAAATAGATAGTCAACGTCACTTCCACAGTGAAGTTTTATTTGCTAAAGTTTTATCAGTTAAAGGCTGTACGTGACAAATACCGGAGACATGATGATGTGTGGTTTCTGGGGTCTGTAATAAAGTCTAAGCCCCGCACAGCTTTATTGTGGCTGGTCCTTTCCTGGGAAGTATCAGACTATCCGAAAGCATTTGCTGCGTTTCTCCTTAATATACTAACTACATACCTAACCGAGCACTAGCGAGAAATACGATGGAGTGCAGTAGACGCCTAGCGGCCATGTCGGAACTAATCTAGTTTTTCTATTATTCACCAGATGGCGCTATACTACTTGGCGGGAATATATGAGTTTTCGTTCTCAATTGAGCCTGAACAAGTATAATATTTACGATGTTTTTGTGCTTCTTTGTATTCATATCGTCTTATAATTGGATTACATACAAATTATATCCTTTCGATGTTAAACTACTAAAGAGTATCATTTTTGAAAATGTACTGTATTACATTATTCTAAAAGAACTTTAGTAAAATGAACGAAACAAATTTGTTTATTCGTTTCTAATACATAATAACTAATTTGAGAATTGATACAAATTGCAAATTTTAAAACATAATTGAACTGTTGAATAATTGTAGTGCAACTGATTAGAATAACCTGTATGAATTAGGGTACTCACGACCTTGTCTATAGGCATCACTTATTATATTTCATGTTCGTCCCCCAACGCGTTAACTGAATATGACGCTAAGTCACTTTTTAATATGTGACGTAATTCAATTTTATATAAAGCAATGTACATACATTGAAGCAATTTGCACATACTGTTATGTAGAATGTAAAAAGTCGTAGATAATTTAATGTAATCTACTTTGCAAAAAGGTTTAAACTTTATAGTTCCATTTTTCAAGTAGTTTGTAACAATGTAATCTTCTACAAATATTGCTATTGTATTTTTCTTGTTATGTATTTAGCCTGTAAAACGTACTTTTTCCAGATGACCTCTTCGTAAAATGTATAGAAATAAATTAACGAAATGTAGCATCGCTTTTTCATGTATGATATTCGTATTCAACGTGCGTCACCCACGTGCTATGGAATTATGGGATTGTTATATCACCTTACGAATTACAACAATGAAAAGAAAACACGAATTATAAGTGAAATATCTTTATTGGACAGTTTCTCTCGACCGACTGTCATGTGTTAGAGAAAAGAAAATTCGTTTAAGTCACCGCAATGAGAAAAATATGATAAATACTTACAAAAATGTTGCACTTGACGGCCGGCAGATGAACACTTAACGCCCCAGTATGGACGCAGATATGGTCAGAATTTAAGTACACGATCATCGGCACTTTTTCCAAGCTGAAGCGTGTCTGACCAGCAGACAATATGGGATAAATATCAAAGTACGTTATAGTGGCGGCACACACAGTGAAACATCGTACTTGTCATGTTTTCCACTCTACTACGCCATGGCTTATTGTCGTCTGCTGGAGAACTCAAGCACCAGCAGCCATATGTCGAAGCTAGCGCCTTACGTGATTTTTCACGCTCGATTATCTCATTCGTTTTTCTAGTTTAATCACTTTTTTCACTTAATTATTTTAATTTATTCTTAAACTGTATTGTTATTTAAAATACGAATTCGATAGTTTTGTAAAAATTAATATTTAAAAGGGACAATAACTCATAACGAATATAGTTGAACTTCACACTTAACAAGTCACAATTGACATATTTTTTCCTTAGACTTATTTTATAGTATGAAATATTTATGTTAAAGAATACATTTATCTTTTATTTATGGCATATACATAACGTAAGTTTGAAAGTATTTTATTTTAATTCAAACTGATCAAGTGATGCATTCAGCATCCAACGCCTTGAAGATAGACATTGATTAGTTTCGATATCTACCACAAATGTATTGTATGCATGTACTATGTATTCGATCTATACATCGTATATCGTAACATGTGGAAAATAACCTCTAAACTAACAAATATCTTTATTAAATGTTAAACTTTGTTTAACGTTACATATATATAACCCTAAGTGTAAGATGATTCCTAAATCTACACAGCAACAAGATGTTGAAGATCCTGTTGAAGAAATGTTAAAAAAGACTGGTTGTATGGAACTTCATTATCAAGTTCAAGTATTAATTTTTCGGATATAACTACAAAACATGTAAAGTGCCAAAGTTGATGAGTTTGTTTACTGTATTTTTAGGAGTGTATAGCAGAAACTCAAGATTGGAGGATGTGTCAAGAACAAGTAAAAAGATTTAGAGTGTGTATGGATAAATATAAAAAAAACAGAGAGGAATCATAGTTAAATTAATAAATATGTCAGTATTGAATTATATAAAACGCATATTTATTAATCCTTTAAAATATTCAAAAGATGGACATTATAAAATGGTGTTGATTGTGAGATCAGATATATCCATGGGAAAGGGAAAAACTGCTGCTCAATGTGCACATGCAGCAGTAGAATGTTATCGTCAAGTGTCAGCCAATGTGAAATATCAACAAATGTTTAAAGTTTGGTTGTTACAAGGTCAACCTAAAATTGCATTAAAAGTATCTAGTGAAGAAGAATTAATGTCATTAGCTCATAGAGCTCGGAAATCTGGTCTAATTATTTCTATAATAAAAGATGCAGGCAAAACTCAGTTACAACCTGGCACAATATCTACACTTGGTATTGGGCCAGGTCCACAAAAACAGATAGATGACCTTACATGTCAATTGAAACTATTGTGAAAATTAACAATAGTTTGTTAAATAAACAAAGTTATTTTTGTTGTTTGTATACAGGAATAATTAGATGGTAGTATCTAAATAAATCTATTATTGGATTATATCTCTGACAGTGTCTTATTTAATATTTTATTAGTTAAAGCTTTGTTTCATTCTACCTATCTTCGTACAATATGATATGAACAAAATGTATTCTTTAAAATTCTATGTGTTAAAAAACATTCATTCAGTATATTTTAGATTGGAACACCCTTAGTTATTATTCTTTTTCTATATGATACAGTAGCATACAATCCTGCATGTAAGCTTATGTCAGCACAATATATACATTTGTTTCTTCTTTTTGAAATTACCAATACTACTGAAAGATGTTTTCCAATTTGAATCACATATATTAATTTATAAACTTTCAGCAGTAGTTTAAAAATAGCATATAAATTTGTAGATATTCTATGAATATCATACATATTGATTCTCCTTATAAAAGAAGAAGACCTTGCTGTACAATTAAACAATTCGTTCAGAATCATTTTGTTTACATTCTTCTAAAGGCAAATTTTTTATTAGTATATCTAAAGATGTTAAACTTTTTTCTTATAATATGTTATGTTTTCTGTCCTTAACAATATATTAGAAATACTGTACCAAACTTGTAATATACATGTACACAGTTTATTAATATACTAAGTAAATATTTTATTACTTTAATACTTGATTTGTTACAAGATTGAGCAGAAAAGTTATAGGAATCTTCTGTGAGAGCACAAATGAATATTAAAAAATAAAGTTTTTCCATATAGACTAAAAAAAGTTTAAGATAATGATATTTGTTATTAAAATACATATAAAAGATATATTTATGATAATTTCATTGGTTGTTCAAATTTTAACACAGCACCTACTGCAATATAATACTAAAAAAATTGTGAATACATACTGACTATTTTTTATAAGAATTATGTGTATAATATATTGATACACAATTTCGTTTATACACGTTACAATTATACATGTTTCTATACAAACATATCTCATTAAAATTAATATGAAGAAAGTCGTATTGTGTCGTAAATGTGCATTAAAATAGTTCTCATAGAGAGTAAATGTACATAAATACAAAATGCAGAATCAGGGATATCATGAAAAATGCATACAATAGTACAAGATTAAAAAGTTTCATAGATACAATTGTATGATTACCTTATTGAATTTTTTACATGTAATTAATGGAAAAAGTGTTAAGTATTAAATTAGTTATAGATGTTGAATTCGTATGGTTCAGGAGTATGACATGAGTAAAGTAAAATTGAAAGATTACATTACAGTGATAGGATTGTGTTTAATAGTACTGTAAATAGATAGTAGAAAATATGAGTAAAGACTATGTGTACACGAGTATTACTATATATAACACAGTAATCCCTTAAATATTAAATACCTGACAGCTAATTATCATTATTATGTACATTGGCATAAAAGTTATACATTAGATAACAATATCTCTTTATATCTACAAACTGCTACAACCCAATCATATATTTATGCTTTTCCTAAATCAAAAACTATTCAAAGATACTCATATCATACTCACCCATTTTATTTTTCTTTGTGTCAATTATTGACTCCCTATCACATATTTAATTTGATAATTAATATGTCTCTAATTACACAGTGTGCAGAATATGTCAGTCTCAAGTAGCATGTAACAGAGTATTATCGACCCTTTAAAATTGTATCATTTGGCAAACAGTATGAATCAAACTATTAGTTTGACTTCTCACATGTGTAACCTTTTGTTTTTTGTGTCTTGACATTAAGTAATTATTTTAGTAAGTTCCGGAGGTTCTACATAATTATTAAGCACATGTGGTGCTTCATTAAATTCATCAAGTTCATCACCATTATCTGCTCCTTGTGCAAGTAAAAAGTATTGTTCACTCCGTGTTGGCCAAAGTAAATGTGCCATTACACAATATGCAAAACAATCAGCAGAGTATGTAATACCTACAAACATAATAGATGCATGATTATAAAAAAATATGTTTAAAATTTTATTATATACTTACCCAGCAAGAGTTTAAACCTCCATAATGCGCTTACTTGAAGAGCTATAAGTGCTATAATAGGTAAATAAATGAACCAAACTAACGAAGATGCACCAAAATGAAGCAGAAAATTTAACTTTTGTGTATTATGTTCATATGTCATAGTGTTTCGAAGTTCACATAAGAACCAAATCATTATTGCACTGCGAAACAAAAGTATAAACCAGCCTGGCCATGTTTGGTATTCATCAATGTCTTCAATAATATCAACTTCGGTCTAAAAATATTACTTTTGCATTTAATTACAATTAAATTTCTACATTAGTAAATATAAATAAAGTACATACCATATTCCACACATATAATAGAATATGAACTACTCCATAACAGAGCCATATAGCAAAAACCAATGGCTTCCATGTCAATTCCATTCTTGTTACAGCCCATCCTTTGGCAAGTAGGAGAAGAAGCAACATGAACGATGTCTGAACCATATAAAATGATTATTAAGTAATTAAAATACATTAATAATTTACAGAACACAGAAATGAAATCATTTATTAAGACTTACTCTTGATAGAATATCAAAAATATCTCCAGCAACTTCTAATTGTTCATAGCCAACTCCATCAAGAGCAAACTTCATTACATGTATTAAAATTAAACATACTGCTATAAACTCTAATAGTAAGCTAGCAGTGAATAATCTTGTTACAGGATGTTTTTGTAACCTTACTGCATATAACTGTAGTGGCACAAGTATAATATAACACATAAAAAACAGCAAGTACAGTTCTATAGTATTTTGTCTATCATATGAAAATTGGTACGTAAGACTATATAGGCCACTAGTATTTGGATTGCCATTTACTAGCCAAATATCATACTCTAATTCATCATGTTTACTATAGTATTCCCACTGACAAGTGGTTGTGTTTCTGTAGCAAGCCACTAAACTCATGTACCAAAAACGTGGCTGCCAAAAATCTTGTATGACATATGTGAATTGATATCCTTTCACAATATTCCATATGGAATCTTCATCTGGGCATAATTTACCTTTTGGACAAGGTACTCTCCTTTACAGAGAGAAATATTGAGTAACATAAATTTTTAACACCATTTTGAATAATGGTATAGTTTGAAAAAACAACATACCTCAAGAAATCTTGACCTTCTTCGTTACAATGCACATCATAAGAACTTTGATTCAAAGTATTGAACATAAGAGTACAAGCAGTGTTCTTGTCTTCTAGTGTACGATTACCGTAATATTCTAAAAAATGACCTCGATGTAAGACTGCCAATGTAATTGGCGCAGAAAAATTGCTTCTCGACGTTACATTGCCGAAAATATATCCATACGAATCTTTCTGTCGATGACGATCAGTCTTTTGAAAACCAAACTTAATCAGAAAACGAAAGAACTCTTTCGTATTGAAGGTACCCGAAATATGCGTGCCTCTAACATAACTAATTCGTGATAAGATACATAATGTGAAACAAATCAACAAAATTTCTCGAAGTATCAACATTATTAAATGCCACTCGATGTTTCGTCTTCGAAATTAGATGTCAAGAAGCATCAATCACACAGTTCTTAAACATTTTCTTCTTAATGAACACAGCTGTTAGAGTTAACCGTGTTGCACACTATTTTCCGTCAAGTTTCCGTGTACGTCAAGGGGCATCACATTTCAAGAAGGTCATTGTAAAGATTTTCCAAACAAGGACACATTTCCACATGCAGCGCAGTATTCAAAAATATCAGCGCACGATTCATCCACTAAACGTTAATGACCCATACTTGTGATTTAAACTCGCTTTTCCTATTGATTTTCCCCACCCAAAGAAACCGGCCGCTGCAAAACGTTTTGTCACTACTATTACCGCACCGTTCTCATAAACTTTCGCGCGCTCGCATAAAGGAATCCTTACGCTTCTGATTAATACCCTGTTAATCCTTATTCACCTAAATGCATCTTCGAATTAGAACGTGTAAAGGGTTAAAAAGACAATTGATCATTTGCATATATCCTTTTTTTTATAAAAAAACCACTATCAAATAGTAAGTGTACAAGTAAACACATAAATTGTCAATTTATGTTTACATTTCATAACGAACTGATTGTTATGTAAATTGTTAAAAATTGAAAAATTGTTTAAAACAGGACTTAATCAGCAGACATAACCTCAAAGTCAAAATTTAGGAAATTAATTGGATTTCAATTATGTTTAATTGGAAAAACTAATGTTAAATTTCTTTGTAATTTTATTATTTTATTTTTAACATTGTTTAATTTAATGCGCAGTTAATCTTCAAAATTTGAAGCCTTTTTACTGCAAAAAATTGTTCCGTTAAATCGTTTAAATTTTGCTATAAAGTATAATTTCATATAAACTACAATTCATTTTACAAATATTTCGAAAAATTATATACAAACTAAGTATAAATAACTTCTCGAATGTTACTGTTACTATTTTTAAATAAAAGCCCTCTTTGCAATATTTTGAACAATTAACAAATAGGGCATTACCTTCAGTGGAAAACACCCCTGAACTTTATCCATTTGGACAAAGTACTAAAATTCTTTGTACTCCATAAACAGCCAGCGCACCCTATCTCCAAAAGTATCATACTTTTATGGTTTCGTAAAAAAAATTATTTAGATACGTAAATTATAACGTTCACATACATGTGAATAGTCCTTCATTAATTATGCGACAAAAAGAGTTGTTTCTTTCTGTTGCTTTTAATACGTGTAGACTTTTTACAAAATATCGGTATCACCAAGCATAGAAAAAGAAATAACGAAAGAAATGCCAAATATCGACCTATCAATTATAATAATCGATTGAAAATTAACTAATTGGACCATTTTATTGTTACAACAAAGTCACAATGCATCTTTTCAGTTATATAGCAAACGATGTACACATAAAACAAGATGTCTACTTTAGACTGTTAACCATCACTCTCATATCATTTGATCGTTCTCGATAATTTTTTATATTCTATGCTAAAACAATAGTTTTATTCACATATCGGTTACCGTAAGTTTATTATGGTAACGATAAAATTCACATGCATTACAGTTCCTATCAATAAAATTGAATGTTTTGTTAAAAGAAAACGCGTCATAATTTTTTTATGTACGAAGGAAGACGTTCAGTTGCCATCTTATGATGCATTCTTTATGTCTGTATCACATGATATATATTTTTATATGTACATTAGCAACAATGATTTCTTAAAAACTGGAATATTCTGGTTAATTGCTAAAAAGATTCGTACTGGTTAATACAATGTTGTGAAAACAGAAATAGTTCAACAACAAATACATGCTACCTACAATCGTACAACATCGATATACATATTGTTTCTTGCTTCACGATATTCTTTCTTTCCATGACTTTTTTATTCCGTCGAACACAATGTTTTCGTAAGAATATACCTTGCTTCGAAGAAGCAAGTTAAAATCATACCTAATATCCCACGATTGGCATTAAATATTTTGTTTCGTTATTGGACGATAAGGTTATGACTTTCGTACGTCATATCCTAAACGAACGCGTTCAATTGGCTTCATATCGATTCATTTTTCCTACATTTCAATTTTTTTATTTATATTCTATGTGGTTAATGTACGATTCGCTTAAAATTCTATCAATTTTGCATCATAGATCATTGAGTTATAAAATATCAAGACTGGCTTTATCGTTCATTCTCTAGAGAATCATGTATTCCGGTAGTGCCTATTTTAAACTCGTAATTTCACCGATACGAGTCGAATTTTCACGGAAAATATGTAATAGTTTGCAGCGACGGGTCCATTAGCATCGTTTACAATGGAAATTGCAAGCAGAGTATGCAAAAATTCAACGATTTTTGCTATTTTTCCGCAAGCTATCCTGCCGCGGTGAAAAGACACTCGTTGGAAAATCATGCCGTGCACAAAACCCAATGGCTTTTATCGGGCGGCAAAAGCAACTGAATAAGACTACATACACGTGGCAATTTATCCGTGCATTTCTCATTTCTTGGTCTACCCTCAATTTCGAGAAATCATACTTTAATTCAACCGATCGTTTACCGCTTCACCGTTTTTAGAGAAACTCAAAGCTCAACATATTCAGTAGGAGCCTCTCCATGGTCCGCGCTCCCAAGGCATAACGTAGGGTATAGGAGCTAAAGCTATATTGGCGGATTATGCGTCCGTACCTGCAGTACAAGTAGTGTTTAATATCGTCTGAAAATTTGAAAAAGAATTCTTCTGTTTTACATTAACTAAGACACGGGATTTTCATTCGTTAATCAACGAAAATGGAGGACAAGGCAAACGCTGGAAACACCGCTGTAGAGACTACAGAGAGTAGTAATTCGAGTCCAGCAAAGAAGACGTCGAAGGCGAAGTCGACTGCGAAATCACAGCGGTCGAAGGCTTCGCATCCGCCTACATCTGAAATGGTGAATTCTGCCATCAAGGAATTAAAGGATCGCAAGGGATCGTCACTTCAAGCGATCAAGAAGTATATCGCAACGACATACAAGGTTGATGGTGAGAAATTAGCACCCTTCATCAAGAGGTACTTGAAAGGAGCCGTTACGTCTGGCGCTGTTGTACAGACGAGAGGCAAAGGTGCCTCTGGTTCGTTCAAGCTGTCAATCATAAAGAACTTGGAGTCGAAGAAGACCCCGGTTGTGAAAGTATCAAAGCCTAAGAAAGTCAAGAAATCTGTAGAGAAGAAAACGTCGCCAACACGAAAAGCTGCATCGCCGAAGAAGCCAATTCCGGCAAAAAAGGCAGAGGTTACTAAGAAATCGGCGGCTGTAAAGAAGTCTCCCGCCAAAACCGCCGAGAAACCCAAGAAGGCGGAGAAAGCTAAACCTGCAGCTGAGACGAAGGTCATGTCAAAAAGCAAGAAAACAGCTAAAGCACCTGCAGCCAAAACTAAAACTCCAAAACCCAAAAAGGCTGCGGCAGCAAAAACAGCTAAGCCAGCGTCAAAGAAATAATTCTAAAGCACAAATTTTAGAATTCCAGCCCTAAACAACAAATGGCCCTTTTCAGGGCCACAAAATCGTATTTGACAAGGAACAATTTTTAGACAATTTAATCAGTTTTCTACAATCTTTTGTACATAATAAAGAACCTAACCTAAATGAATTCCTTTAGACAAAATATATACCGTACAATCCTCCTTTGCCCTCATAACGCACGAACAAAAACATAACCTATAATAGTTCTAATACGAAATTATCACTCTGACGTATTTGTGTTTACAGTTTTGAACTTGAAATCTATAATCTTTAATTTTATTTAAATTAATTTATGTAATTCTTATTTTCAATTTCTGCATATTTTTGAAGTTAGTTTAACACTTATAATATGAACGTTTAAAAATTGAGAAATGTAAAAAGGACAAGGGACCAATCATGTTTTAAAGTACAAAGTTAGTACAACGATGATAATAATGATGTATTCGGTATAATTGTATACAGCTATAGTTCTTTTACTGACGACATGTTTGGTCAATTGCCCAGGTGGGAGAAAATACACACAATGGTTCGGACGTTTTAGGATATTTTTATGACGCGCATGGCTTTACTAAAAATAGAGTGAATTCTTTTTTAGTTTACCTTATTGTTAGATTTCCAAAGAAATTGTAAAACTTTGCTTCAATTTTACGTATTGATTTTATTTTCGGTTTTCTGCTACGAATACAAAATGCACTGACCGAAGATCAGAAAAACTATTGCCCTCTTGAAAACACGGGCAAGGGGTTTTCAATTTGATAGACAAAAGTGTTGACGGTAGTGGTGGAGACATTGTTTAGTTTCAAAGGTTAGGATAACCATGTGTCTGTCAAGTGGCATTTGGTTTTCGTTAAAACTTGAGCCCTAAATGTGTTTTAAAAAAACGAGTCTCCAACACTATTGTCAGTCCATAAGCCTTGAGATAAGATAAAGGTGAGGATGGACGCGCGAGAAAGAACGAGGCGGTCGATACTGCGCAGAAGCACGCGATATATGTATAGTGTTAGATATCGGGTTCCAAGCGCGCGAACGAGCCGTGAATTTAATACAAATTGCCAGTGTTTCAAACATTAAGATCATTGAACTTACTTTTCTCTCTGTAAACTTTTTCTATTGCAACCTAAAATTCTGCTAAGTCGTTTAAAGTTAAATAACAGTAACACTTTTGAGATGCCAAACTTTCTGTTGATTTGGAGTACATTGTTGGAAAATCGAGTGCCTTGCTCAATCTATATACAAATTTATCGAATTCAGTTACAATTTTTAGTGAAATAGGGGTCACTGACACGAGTGTTCGGTATTCGAAAAGCAGACGGCATAAAAAAAAATAAAATTGATAGATTGGAGTATAATAATTTTACGATGTGTGAATTAATCGGTGTGATACATTTTTGACCTAGTAAAGCACTGCCTAATATTAAGTTTCGTACAGAAGGTGAGCAATATACTCCTATTTCGACTAATGAAAACTATATCTTGAATGCACGTCTGCTCTCTCGCGGATGTCTTTCCAATCTGCTAAAATATTTAACGTCTGATACCTCTTAGCTGATGGTCAGCAATTTCAATTACCAATCAGCATGTCTAATAGTGCCGCCAATTCCCTGTTATGCGCCCTTAGCGCACCTTTACTTGAAAGGGTGTGAGGCGGTAACGGTGCGGATGGACGAAATTTGGCAACCGTGCAGCATTTCCACCGGGTTGACTGTTTGGTCAGCGGACCGTTACTAAAAGATGTATGCTTCGAAAACTCGTGGTTTGTAGCATGACCTTAAGCTATTTAGCGCAGAAAAGCAAAAATTTCTGAAAATGCAACAAAACAATGTTACCTTCCCTCGGTAAGATGAACTTCGACACATGCAAAAAATAAAAGAGAACTTGGAACAGAAAAGTAACTATTTGTTACAGTCCTGTCATAAATCGTATCTATGAAGCCCTAACAGGCGATGCACAACTGTTCAGTAAGATGTCGAAGAAAGAGTGGTATATCAAAGCCTATTCGTTAAGTGTCGCGGTAGCCGAGGAGTGCACAATAACAAGCAGCTATAGTGCACCAATCATAGCACGACGCTGCGTTAATGGTCGATCGTGCGTTCTGATTGGTGCGCTCGACTTGCCATCTGGGAGCATATATACCGAGCCCGAGGAACGAAAAATTAATATCCAACGAAAGTTCGTCAAGGAACGTTGTTCCTTTCGAAGTACTCTTACTCCAACTATCAGTATGTCTGGACGTGGAAAAGGCGGCAAAGTTAAGGGAAAGTCAAAGTCCCGTTCCAACAGGGCAGGATTACAGTTTCCTGTTGGTCGTATTCACCGTCTTTTACGAAAAGGAAATTATGCTGAACGTGTCGGTGCCGGTGCTCCGGTTTACCTGGCAGCTGTAATGGAGTATCTGGCTGCTGAAGTTTTGGAGTTGGCTGGCAATGCTGCACGTGACAACAAGAAGACGAGAATTATACCACGTCATTTGCAATTAGCCATACGTAACGACGAAGAATTGAACAAATTACTGTCTGGAGTAACAATAGCACAAGGTGGCGTCCTGCCAAACATTCAAGCTGTTCTTTTACCGAAAAAGACCGAAAAGAAAGCTTAATTTCTTTTAACACCAGAACCGGCCCTTTTTAGGGCCACCAAATAATTTGAATCGAAGGAATCTGATAGTTCATAAACATAAATTAATTCTATTTTTTAACTTCAAGGTTCGCTCCGAATACTAGCTATATGAAAAATTGAAACGTTCGAATGTATATTACGTTTCAATGAAATTCTTGTTCGATTGTAAAATTAAATTGTATAGTTCAAGTAATATTGCTTATTCACTTAGACAAAGAAAACACATTTGGAGTCTAACGTGTGCAAGTGTTAGAATATTAGTGTGCTTATATTGGACATATGGTACGAGGAAATTAAATGGTTAGGTTAGTTAAAAAATTTAAAGACGAAGTTTTAGTTATTAGTTATTGACAGAATTATACGTGGCAACATTGTATTCCATAAGAATTAGCAACGAAAAGAACGTAGCAAACAGACGCTGAAATGTGGCAACGTTGTGTTGCCAGACCTATCGGTGTCACTTTTCTCGTACATTGGAGTCAATACTCGAACTTTGGACGGAAATATATAGAAATCTTTGGCCTTTCCTTAGAAAGTAATAATTGCATTTATTCAATTTATCTATTTACGTAGTCAACATATCAAATTTATTTCACTAACATAAAAACGCAGTCTCTAGAAGTCTTCCACTCTATGTAAGAAAGTTGATAATGAAAGCACAATAAAATCTATTTTTTTTTTATTACTGTTACTATAAAAATAGTTATGAAATATCACTAATATAATTGAATGAAGTTATACCATGTTTAAAAATTGGACTGATTTTTATTGTAAGATCATACCAGGATAAGGTATGAGCACGTATATTATTAATTAACCTCTAAAGAATAAGGATTATGAAACATAATACTGAAAATTAAGCTGAATGAATGTGTTCGCAAGTTTTGAAAAATTTGTGGCCCTGAAAAGGGCCGTTTTGTTTGACGATTATCGACAATCGCAAGTCGAGGACAATGATCTTCCACCTTAACCTCCAAAACCGTAGAGCGTGCGTCCTTGCCTCTTCAGAGCATATACTACATCCATAGCTGTTACGGTCTTTCGTTTAGCGTGCTCGGTGTATGTGACTGCGTCACGAATGACGTTTTCCAGAAAAACTTTCAAAACACCACGAGTTTCTTCGTAAATCAAGCCAGATATTCGTTTGACACCACCACGACGAGCCAATCGACGGATAGCTGGCTTCGTGATTCCCTGGATGTTATCACGAAGTACTTTTCTATGACGCTTTGCTCCTCCTTTTCCCAAACCCTTTCCACCCTTTCCACGACCAGTCATCTTGAAATTTTACGAGTAAATTTTACGTGTACCAAACTCCAGGAGGAAAGAAACACTTTTGAGGCTACGGGTTCGTTTCCAGGGCTACTTATACCCTAGAGACTCCGTATCCCCACCACTCTTCTCAACCTAACCCCACTGCTACTAGCCTATCCGATTTCACAACGCAGCTGACCGAGGGCATATATACGAGTACCTTCGAACATCTGGCACTATTCAAACGCGTAGCACGGCGGTGTAATATTCCGTTGTGTAACGAAAAAATGGCACGCATTAATCAGTATGACAGCTTAAAGAGAAAAGTTAAACCTCAAGCGAAAAACAAGTCTATTCGAGAAATACGTCATTATCAAAAAAGTACGAAATTATTAATTCCCAAACAATCATTTGCAAAGCTAGTAGAAGAAATTGTTCGAAACGTACAACAAAATAAAGAATGAATAACAGATTAAGGGTTCTGTTTTGAATCGCACGACCTATTTTTTCTATAGTTAGTATTATTCAACGGCCCGGTTTACGGGCCACACAATTTTCATCAAACGTTTTCCTTTAATAAACGATGTATTGAATTCTGTTTAATACATTCACGCCAGAGCTATGTATATAAATCAGTTACGACCGGTATTATTAAACAACGAAGGGAAACTACGTACATTTTATAAGTACAAAAAATCAAACCATTTTTATTTGCAGAATTTTTACATATTATACACAAGCAAGTAATCAAATATTAATCAAATATTACAAAAAATTTCAAAGTTTCGAGCTAGTCAGTTTTTGAATCCATTTGACATATTTGGTGACTCTTGTGAACACGTCAGGTTTGCCGCTGGGGCAATTCGCGTCTCCGTAGCTAACGACTCCGACTTGTAGGGGGACTCCATTTTTGTACACGATCAGAGGTCCTCCGCTGTCACCCTGCGACATTCAATAAAAAAATCATAAATTTCCACGTTTCACGGAAAAGGTAAAATTATTTTACCTGGCAAGTGTTATGTCCATATTGAACTGTCGTGCACACGTGATTCGACGTTACTGCCCAGTACTGAGAGCATTGTTGATTCGACATGATCGATAAACTTGTATATTTAAGGTTCGACGTTCCTGTTCCAGTGGGTCCGTCTTTGCCCCATCCAACTGCGATAGCATCTTCACCTTCAAAACTTTCCATTACACCGTTGTATCCAGCGAGCCGAATAGGCTGAATTGTGTCTGAAAATTCAAAGGAAAAAATATCGTTTATTAAACACTTTTCTTTGAAATATTCTTTATTAAATATTTCTTTTAATTATTTTTTATATACATTTCTACCTCTTCCAAATTTATTTTATCCACCTATCCATTAATCTGACTTAAATCTTACCTCCAAATGGAATATCCTGAGGCATGTAAAGGAGACCGATGTCGTTAAATGTTGGTTCGTAATCAGAATGAAGATATCCCTGTGTTGTTATCATCGCTACAGCAGGTTGTAACACGAAGTCGTATTGTATGATGGACTTATCGATGATACCGAGAACCACGAAATATGTATGAGGTGTAGGTTGCACACAGTGACCTGCTGTTAGTACCCATCTAGAAGAGATGATAGTACCGCCGCACTGTGAAACCATTCCTTGCCCCATCAATCGATGCACCACAGCCATGAAAGGGAACTGGCCAAGGTTCGCGGACTGTCCACCAGCGATTCTTTCCGTGTCATCTGTTTATTTATTATTTTCCAACAAAATTATTCACAAAATCTTGAGTTTCATTTGATATTTAATTTACCATTTAGTCTTGTGATTTTTTAATAGTAACATTTCTTTTCTGCATACCTTTCTTCATCGCATAATATCCAAAAGAAGCGAAATTACTAGCTGTTAAATTATTTCTATTATTCACGTCGAATTCGCTGTTCACTTGGTACGAAGCAGGCTTACAAAAAGCATGGCGGCTCAACGCTAAAACGACAACGGCACAGAAAATCGATCGAACGTTCATCGAAATCATGGTGAACTATACAATTCTCATCCCTGCTTTTCTTATTTATACTTATTTCCCTGCATTCTTTAATAGGTTTTTAATCATGTTTTCTCTGGAAAAGTACGAAAACCGAGGAGAATTCGTGGAAGTTAGGAAATATTTCAAGTCGATTGCATTCCAGCATATGCGACTGAATGTTGGGGAGGGGGAGCGCTGAGAAGGCGAGCCGTGTAACGGTTTTTCAGCGTCGACCCTTTGGTAGGGCTTCATGCCAGGAGTCCGTCCCCTTTGTTCTCTCGACCCTCGCATAAGGACGAAACCAGTCCTTTCTTCGACGCAAAAACTACGCAGAAACATATTTCCGTTGCGTTGCGGAAAGCAGTTAAACGTTAAATCCTTCGGTACGATTTAAAAAAATAAAACAATGCAACTAGG